ATAAACAACATGTGGCAACGAACAAAGAAATATCAAACGTTTTGAAAATATACTGTACTTGAATTTTCATACCATCGCAAGAAAACGGAGATCGATCTACGCAAAGTGGCTTTATTATTTATATAAACTTCGTTAAACCACCTTCGAAGACTTGAGCGGCAGCATAAAGATAAATTTTCTGGAGCCGATCGCTGAAGCAAGTTTTTGCCGGCGTACGTAACTCCCTCCGCGGCAAAATCCCATATGCCGTAGCGAAATCGCGTCTCAGCACTTCCCCAAATAAACTCCATGGCCGCTAAAGTCTGCAAATGAGGTTAAACTTCCTCATTTCGGTTGAGAAGCGAAGCTACTAGTATAAAATCATGTGCATGGCGGCCATTTTGTTTGCTACCCGAAGTCTTCCGAATGATCTAAATAAGGAAATCGTCGGAAATCTGAGCCACATCCCTCGCTGTCGGCATGCGCTCGGGGCTGGCTCGGTGGAAATCGGAGGCTGTGGCGTCAGGACTAGGTTTATTTGCATGGCTCGGGAAGCCGCCGCGGCTTGAATCGCAGCGGGATTTGGGCGCCGGGCGGGTCAAACAAAGGGAATATGAAGTTGTGAGGACCATAGTTTTTTTTTTCATTCTTCAAATTGCAGATTGTGTAATTTTTATCCTGAAATCTTGAAAATCTATCTGCAAATTGCAGACTGAAGACGGGTATTTAGAACACTGAATACATGAAGTGTGCGGGGGGGCATGATGTCGATCACCGGATCATGATTTTTTTTCGCGTTGACCCTGATTCAACCCTAAAATAATACTCGAAGAGAACTTCAAAAGTCATCTTTTACTAATCATATATAATTGTTTACATTATATCATTTGATCAACCTGATCTATTAAAAATTGTCAATGGAAAATACCTTGCCAAACAATGCAATACCTATTTAAGTTAATTAAACACTCACTCATTAATTAATTAATTTCCTAAAATACAAAAGACATGTTGGTGAAAGTTAGGCACCCAGGTAATATCAATAGTTCCACGGACAGCTATGTAGGCCGGAGCTTCTATTGCGTGCGATCTACGTTTGGTCAGAAAATACACCCCCCCCCCAACACACACACACACAAAAACACCGATCCGGGAACGCCTGAAAAGGAGGCTTTTAATAAGCTTTGCCTGCAGCGCCTTGATTGGTCGGACGTGTGACCCTCTGGACTGCCGGCTAATGGAAATCTGAACATCTAGACTAATCCACACTGCTAATGCTCATTGACATAATTTATGCAGTTTATCAAAATCCTTGATTACTGTGATAGACATGTCTATAGACATGTCTTTATCAACATTTTTGGCAAATAATAAAATCAAGTTATTGTTCAAGACAAATTAAGTTTGTTTTGTCAGCAGCTTTGTTATGCAACATTAATAGAACTATGATTTTGAAATTAGCAACCATAATGGAAAGTATACAAACGTCCAAGGCATAAATGGTAAAAAGTGCACTCGCAACAACGACATCTAGCGACATGCGGCAACTCAGCATGTCTGCATGGCCGTCGCAACAACGACATCTAGCGACATGCGGTGACTTAGCATGTCTGCATGGCCGTTGAAGGGTGGAACCGTTGATCCATCCATGCACCCAATCTCAATCTCGTCTGAGTTACCATTTTCGCGCATGCGAAAATGGTAAAAAAAAGTATTTATATGTAGTAGTTCTTGAATCCATGTGAAAGAGAGACTATTTTTCTCAGCGGATGTAACAAATCTTGAAGTTGTAATATCTGTAGGCCGCGCATGTCTAGTCATTTTGATATGAAATATATAAAATGATTGAATCGGTAAAAGTTTATATGCACAATGCCTTTTTACATCCGATACCATGTTGAAGGGCTACAGTTCTTTTCCTGGAAATACTGTACACACATCCATTGTGTATCTAAGTGAATGTTAGAGTATGAACATGAATATTCATCTCTCTCTCCTCCTTTGTCAACTCCTGGCGGAATTTGTGGTAGACTCAAATCAATGTAGTACTAGACCTTTTGCACGATGAACACTCGCTGAAAATTACTTGCCAAGCTTTATGTTAAAAGGTAAAGCCTAAACATCTTGTAAAATGTTTTGAAAGTATTATCGAAGTCTCTGAAAAGCTTGAGTGAAGTAGTGTTCACACATAATCAGACTGACAGAGAGAGCGGGTGTGTGTTGGGGAAAGATTGGAGTCTTATCTATATATATTGACCAATGCAATGCAAACCAAGACTTACTGTTGAAAGTTTTATTGTCGGAAATAGTGCTAGCGGGGCTTGTACTATGTAAGCACCCAATAAATTCGGGTAAAGTAAAGTATCAGACCTTATTCTAGCTTTTCGTGACACTTTGAGTTTGAAACATATTGACAACAGATAAGGAATTTATGTAACAGTTACAGTCTGTTGTACATAAAAAAAAGTTAGCCTCACCTAACCCAGAATATAAAGTAATGACAACACTGCCTCAGTTGGTGTGATCGAGATTGGCCAGCAGTTACTTGCACAGTTCTAACAGAGCTCCTGAGTGTACATTCTTATACCACCAAATTGACACCACAATTACAAGCCATATTTCTAGATACACTTACTATCCAAGCTATCTAGTTGTGAGTTAAAATTTTCAACGTACAAATAAAGATATCTGCAATTAGACACTTTGATAAAACTTTGACAGGGCAGATCAAAAAAATGAAATTTGACCACAAGGTTGGTTTTTGAGAAACTGAAAATTGCAGATAGCATTTTGTTGATTATGTGACTTTAGTTGCAACTATTCCGATCATTCTGCACGGTTATGGGGGCACACCCCAGTTTATTTGGGTCTTAATTCGATTCTGCATACCCTCAACTCTAGCGACCGTCTCTTTCAGGAAATACCTCTTGAGCCAAAACACTCTGTTTGCGAATGAAGGATATCCCTCTAGCTACGAGAACAATAGAATTTCAATTTCTTTCAACTCTCACATTTTTTTAAATTTTAGGGGGAAAAATAATTTTTCGATGAAAAATGATGCCAAAAATTGGCCATTTTCACGTGGAATTAAACCCATCACCCAGAATTTAGCCACCGATATGACTTATATGGTCGGAAAGCGAAAACCCTTATGTATTATTAAGAAAAGTATAAAGAAAATCCTAACACTGAGATTATCACAATAGCCCGTCGCGCGAGGCATAGCGACAGCACCCCCAGAACGCATATACAAGGCATATCTAGGTCAAACCGAAGCACCGCGCTGAAGGACACCCGGAAGTAAGCCTCGGGCCCGAAATCAATTTTCACCCAAACCACGCCACTTCTTACACTTTCCAGCCATGTTAGTAGTTAATCCCATTTTGCAGCAGATTATGAGAAATGTAAACTCGGAACCATCGGAACCCCTTCGTCACTTTTTTTCCGGGCACTACATGAAGAACTGGTGTGTGCACCGTTATATGTTACTGATATTCATGAAAATAAGATATGAATCTTTATTTGCATGTTCATGCCCATGGGGCTAAATGCATACATCAGAATGTGATGTTACATGTACATCATACTGAGTAACATGATACATAGGATACAAGGATAACAGAATAACAGAAGAACGACTAGAGAATAAACTAAACTAAGCCTTATGGATTTCTTCTCTCTTTTTAAAGCAATTGGAGATACATTCACACAGTTTTTCTATTGCATGGTCATTACTGGTGGACATGAGATGACTGAATACATCTTTCTTTGTTCTACCTTTATACAGTTTGTCTGAATGGATTGTTCTAAACAGTGTGCCACGTTCAATATCAAACAATTTACAATCAAGTACAAAATGTATTTCATCTTCTACTACGCTACCAGAGTTACAAACCTACTAGATATTGTTACTTTAAAAAACAGTTTAGAAAAATTAAAAAAAAGACCAGTATTATGCTAATCTGTCCATGCCTTTTGTTTTTGGTGTGGAGACAGTCTGAGAATGATGTTTATGTGTTTATGTATTAATGGGGGTCAATTCAATCTGCTGGAGAAGCTGGGGAACAGATAATCGGTGTTTAACCAAACTATCAGCGTGTCACGGATGGTGTGATTTGTCATCTGAAAGACTAAAATAATTTCCATCCAACAGAAGGATTTCTTTGTAAAGTATGGTGCGATTTCAGGTAAACAGCACGCAAGTGTTCTTATCTCAAGGACCAGTATAATTCCATCCGTAGAGTTAGAGTTTTCACCTGAATAAATCGAACAATTCCCACGGCCACCGATGTAAGTATTTCTGCGATTAGAAGGTTCCGTGTCAGAATTTAAATCTGACCAGGGTTCCAGAAAGTGCACAATAATTATCACTGGATCTGCGAGGTTGTCACGCTAAGTTTGGCCCCCGATTGCTCGGTGATCGTTAAAGATTTTCACATAGTTTTTGAAGCCGTATATAAGCCGTTATACTGGACAAAGTATTTTTCCAGGCAGGTCCGTTGGAAAAACTACAAAAAATCTATATTTTTCGTATCCAAAATTTACATTTCACAACAGTTTCTACCCGAATAGTAGAGTCAACACACGATAACCAAAATTCTGTCGGAAGCCGGCTGGAAACCTCCATTCACTGATATAGTGAGATTTCCTGGCGTACTTTTCTTGGCGGAATTGTAGCCCTTCAGTCTGAGGGGGGTGTCCGCCAGATCCAAAATCCGAGACCGCATTTGCTCTAGATCTCTTTCTTATCCACACACACTCTCTCTTTTTCTCTGTCAGATGAATGTGTGGACATGTATGCATCAGTACTTCAAATATTTCCCATGGAAAGGCAATTAATTGTCACCGGTACCGGTATCGGTATTGGACAACCATTTGATCTATTGGGGTCGACTGAATGGCATTGTCAGCGGTATTTTCCCCTCCCCCCGTTGTATAAACATGAAAAATACTTACGTTTTGGAGAAACATGAGAGTTATACATAAAAATTTACAGAAGGGACAATCTCTCAAATTCCGTCATGGAGCTTTCTGACTTGACCGCTTCTCTACTCATGACAAACATGTGCAACTGCAGCCGCAAGACCAGTGAAGTACAGTAGTGAAGCTGTTGTACTAGCAGATTCACCCGCCAGGAGGCGCTTTTTCACTTCGAGATCAACATCAACTTCGTCATGTCTTGCTGCATCAGCCACGATACCGATCCACCCTAGGTGTAGATCAGGTCTGTATAAAACGCAAACCATCACATTTTAGCAATGAAAAAAATGTTCATTCAAATTTGCACTCGTGAATACGTAACTTGTGAAAATAGTTAAAAACAGTCGATGTCAAATCATATTCTTCTGCCTGCTCGAGCAAGTAGTTATAATTTTTCTCTCCTTCTCCGAAGGACGCGACGTGACATCGCCTCGTCCAAGGCAGCTTCGGTAGATTTCGGCAGACTTCGGCAACCCTCGTCAACTCCCGCCAACTAACATCACCGACGAGAGCCAAGTTCGCCCGTCCGAAGCAAACCAAAGACTCGTTATATAGTTCATGAATAGACTGTTATGTTGTTGTAAAAAGTTTCCAAAATCCAAAAAAATGAATAGAATAGATGATAAGTTAGATACTGGCGCTAGTGCTAGTGCTAGTAATGTTAGTAATAGTGTTGGGCTAGGTCCCTCACTAAACGTTACGCGTCCCTCCCCTGCGCAGTCTAACACCGATGTATCGAAATATGCAGAGGAACTGAGCAAAGACCCTACAGTCCTCCGCAGCGCGAACAGCATCAGCAGGCTGTTCAAGGGTGGCTCAAAAAACAACGTCACCACCATTTTTGCGAAAAACCTGATCGAATCCGCTACTGAAGACCTGCAGATTGAAATCGAATCTTGCTCGTCTATGTCCAGCGGCAGTTGTGAGTCTGGTATGGACATGATGGACTCCGTTCTTAACATAACCGGACTCATCCACGCCGAGAAAAACCGAATCAAGGGCGAACGGTCAAGGGAGGATGTCGGTCTCCTCTCGCAGATCGCGAAGTTCAAGCCGGAGTTTCGTGCAACGACCGAGACTCACAAGAGAGAGAGTACTCACGAGCTCACGCAGAGACGTGACTCTCAGGGACAGGACACAATGGCTTACCTCCACAAAGGGTACTCCCTGACTAGGCTCTCAGATCTGAGACAGGGAAAGATCCGAACCGTGACAGGGAAGACACTGCGGATCAAGTGCTCCAAGGAGAATGAAATCCTCCGCCAGAAGATGATCTATAACGCCAGACAGGAGTTGGCCCCTCCGAAAAAGAAGAAGTTCAAAACCGTCGCTAAGGCGGTCGCCTGGACCGTCAGAAATAGGCTGGCGTTCATGAAGGGTGACCTAAGAAACCAAGGAACAGGAGGAAGAGGAGAAACTACAGAAGTTGGCAAAGATCACCGTCACAAACGTCATCAAAAACGCCGTCAAGAAGCTTGAGTTAGAGGAGAGGAAGGAGGCCATAAGGGAAGAAAGGCGCCGTCGAGCCAACCGCAGAAAGATCACCAAGACTCCGAATTACTTCGGGGAGCTGGAGGACTTCCCCGACCCGACCCCGTGGGTGCAAAAGTACGACAAGAACCACAACAAGGACAACAAAGCGCTGACGTACCTGGTCCGAGAGATCCAGAGGGACATCAAGGAGAACGAGTTAGGCCCTCCACGACCCGGCCTGGAGCTGCCATGCACCAACCTCTCCCTGAGGCACTCCAAACACTCCGATCTCAACCTGGCGCGTCATGGGGACGACACTGGGGAGGAGCCGACCATCCTCAGCGGGCGAAAGAATTCCACCATCCACTTCGGAGACATCACAAAGATTGAAGACTCCGACAGTTCTCAAGTAAGAGAAGAAGATAAGCTCAGCATCGCCGCTGGAGGAGCCCCTGCTGAGCCGCAAACACTCAAGCCCGCACTGAAGCCCTCAAAGACCGACATCCCTCGAACTGGGAAAGAGTCGACGAGCAAGCCAGATTATCTTGGCGGGAAATCTGGCAGCTCAAGTGTCACCCGAGAGGCAAAGGGAGCTGGAATGATCGGGCTCTTCCCGGCAACCGATATCCCTTCCAGTAAGAAGTCCCCTAAATCGGGTGGGATTCTCAAGGACGACAAGAAAAAGGGTGTCAAGGGTTCTGTCCAGAAGGGCCAGGGTACCGAAATGTCCCCCGCTCTCACCGATGAGACGCGTACTCAAGCAAGGCAGTCCTCAAGCCAGGACGCAGAAGTCGCCCTCAGCTCGGCCGCTGCAGATGAGCCCGTGCCCATCTGGACGAAGGCGCCCAAGGAGAAAAAGTCGTGGACCTCTCAAGACAAACCACGAGACATGACCGACCCTAGAGTCGACGCTCCTTACATGTTGCGCTCTTTGACCGAAGTCCGGTCAGGTAAAGGCGCAGAAGAAATGGAAGAGCCTCCCCCTGCGCCAAGAAGTTCCGAATGTCTTATTAAGGGCGTGGAAGGCCTGAGTTCCTCATCTGGATCGTCCGGAGGGACACCTGACGCAGAACCAGTCGGGAAGATGCCTGCCCAAAGGCAAGCAGGGCTGCCCAAAGAAGGCGCTAGAGTCAGAGCCACGGCCGTGGCAGACTCGGGGGGCAGTGGTACCCTACAGTGCGGACGACGGCGTCAGGACAGCCGTTCAAAAAATCACGGTCGCCGTGACAGAAGGGATGATGGCGACGAACCCTCACCTCCGCATTCTGAACCGCGCCGTCTCGATCGTCGACCCCGTGATGCAGGCAACCGAGGCCATGCTCTTCCACCCGACACTTCTAGGAGACCTGATACACCAGGTCAACCATACGTACAACACGGTGGAGGCTACCACACTGGGGCTTACACGGTACTTCACTGCCATCATGTCGGGCGTCCTGACAAGAGTAGCAGGCTTGATGCCTTTGATTGGTGCTACAGAAGAAGACGGCCTGCCCACACTTCCCTCAAACGCTCCTGTCGACAGGACGGACACGGCAACGTCGACTGGCAAAAGACTGATGGCAATCAAAGCGTCTCCACCGCCTTCTGAGTCCGGTGTCACCGATCAGAAGGGTACAGCCGAACAGTCACGCCGGAAGAATAAGCTGTCCAAAGGGCGCTATCCAGTACGTGGAGAATCGCCAGGAATAAGGGAGTCGGTGCCGACCGCGAGTATGCCTCGAAAATCAAGCATTCCTTGCATGGAAAGGGACCAGGTGAAGCCCCACACTGCGGCACAGGGTAGAAAGACAGGGAAGCCAGACAGCATGGAAGGGGCCAAGAAACGTTCAGAGATAAAACAATCTCCTCCAAAGGAAAAGAAGACAGAGAAGTCTGAGAGCCAAGAGGCAGAGGGCATAATCTGGAAAGTGCCTGACCGTCGGAGACGCTCTAGTCTTCACCCAGAAGTGGTCAAAGACCTGAAGAGCACTCTCCAACATCGCGAGGAAGGGCATCAGAAAAAGCGACAGACAAGTCTGACAGCCAAGAGGCTGAAAGGCACAATCTGGAAAGTGCCAGACCGTCGGAGACGCTCTAGTCTGAACCCAGAAGTGGTCAAAGACCTCAAGAACACGCTCCGACATCGTGAGGAAGAGCGTCAGGAAAAGAAGCCGACCCTGCACTTCACCTCTGAGTCGAGTGCCGTGTCACAGAAAAGCACCGTCACAAAGTACGGGAAAGGCAAGAAGAAAGACACGACTTCTCAGGAGACCAGTCAGGCGCTGACGAAGACAACACTTGCCTTTGCCCCTCCGCCTCCTCCTCCCCCACTGCCGGGTTGTCTCCCTGGAGGCAGCAAGCCAGCAAAGGCCGCTCCTGTTGTGTACACAACGCAGACGGCAGAAGTGGAGCAGCGCGCTGCGGTGAGTTCCCGAGAGGAAGATGGCACAGAGATCTCCACTGAGACTGCCACAATGGCGACGATGATGGAGGCCCAGTTCAGTGCTCCGCCACCACCCCCACCTCTTCCTCCCCCTGACTACTACCTGTCAGGCGGAGACGAGTCGGACGACGAGACGCTGAAGGAACAGGCACCGCAGGAAGAGTCTGCAACCGTCTTCCTGCCACCCAAATACTTGGATCGGTTTCAGAGCCAGGGTTGGAGGCACGTGGAGTTCCGTCCCTCCCCACGGAGCAGCGCCGCCAGCAGTGTGGCGGGGAGTGCGCCGTCTTCACGCGCAAGTTCACCCGCAAACACCCCTCGAAGCGCCAGTCCTGTGAGCAGGGATCACGCAGGCCAAGGGATCCAAAGCGCGGCACTGGCAGCGGCCTTGCGTGATGTCGGAGATAACAGGCATGGCATGATGCAACCTCGAAGGGACAGCCTTGCTTTCCAAATCCACTCCCAGGCGACGAAGCTGAAACACTCCACCACTGTGAGGAGAAAGACGTCCACAGGGGAGACGGAAGACACAGCCGAGACTTCGCACATGGTCGCCACAGTCCAGGCCGGCAGAATCCCCTCCCCTCCGTCCCTGCCGTCCTTTAGCCTGGGTTTATCTGCACACCCAGCGTTGGCTATGTCTCCTCTGTCACCGATGACGCTAGGCCAAGCCTTGCATGATGCAATTGGAAGAAGGGAACAGGCGGCACCTGGACATGTGCCGTCCAGCTCACCTGAAAATGACAGCCTTTCCTTCCGACTTCAGTCACAGGCGACGAAGCTAAAACACTCCACCACTGTGAGGAGGAAGACGTCTACAGGGGAAACTGAGGACACGAATGAGGCATCGCAGATGGTCGCGACAGTTGAGGCTAGCCGTGTCCCTACACCACCGCCTCTGCCGTCTCTTGGCCTCGGTGCACATTCCCAGATAGCGCCGCCGGCTGCTCTAGCAATTGCCAGCCCTGCGCCAACTATGGGCCTGCCGTCAGCCTCGCCTCTGCCACAGTTCGGTGGACTTGGTGGTCTGACAAGTCACGGCCTGACGGGAGGTACAGCCATGCGCCACACGTCTACGTCAGCTAAAATGACGCACAAGACTAAGGTCACAAAGGGCGATGAAACGGTGGAAAATGTGGCGGAGGCCAGCGAAACTTTGGCTACTATGGAGACTGGCCAAATCCCTGCACCGCCACCGTTACCGACTCGGGAGCAACTCAGGCGGGCAAGTCTTGCACAAGCCGTGGTCCACCCGCGGGTGCATGGGGTAGGATTCGGACGAGTCCCCTCGCCCCCAGCTTTGCCGCCTATGGAGTTACTGATGTCCGGAATCTCACGTGAATCCGGACTGGTCCCTCCTCCTCCAGCGCTGCCACCCATGGAACTTTTGATGTCCGGAATCTCACATGCACCCGGACTGGTTCCTTCTCCTCCTGCATTGCCACCTATGGAACTTCTAATGTCTGGAATCTCGCATGGGTTCGGAGGAGTCACTCAGCCCCCACCGACTTTAATGTTGTCCCCAGGCCATGGACAAGGTGGCGGTACCTTCATGAGGAGCACGACGGCTTCCAACAAGATGACGCACAAGACTAAGGTCACAAAGGGCGATGAAACAGTGGAAAATGTGGCAGAAGCCGGTCAAACAGTGGCTACTATGGAGGCTGGCCACATCCCTGCACCGCCACCGCTACCAACTCCGGAGCAACTGAGGAGATTCAGTCTTGCACAAGCCGTACATCAGCCTAACATGGCGCTGCGGTTGGCAGGGCATTCGGCTCTAGCAATCCCTCAGTCCCCGCCTTCGTTGATTACTCCGGGCCAGGGACAAGAAGGCGGTACATTCATGAGGAGCACGACGGCTTCTAACAAAATGACGCACAAGACTAAGGTCACAAAGGGCGACGAAACGGTGGAAAATGTGGCGGAGGCCAGCGAAACTTTGGCTACTATGGAGGCTGGCCACATCCCTGCACCGCCACCGCTACCGACTCGGGAGCAACTCAGGCGGGCAAGTCTTGCACAAGCCGTGGTCCACCCGCGGGTGCATGGGGTAGGATTCGGACGAGTCCCCTCGCCCCCAGCTTTGCCGCCTATGGAGTTACTGATGTCCGGAATCTCACGTGAATCCGGACTGGTTCCTCCTCCTCCAGCGCTGCCACCCATGGAACTTCTGATGTCCGGAATCTCACATGGATCCGGACTGGTGCCTTCTCCTCCTGCATTGCCACCCATGGAACTTCTGATGTCCGGAATCTCACATGGATCCGGACTTCGCCCCTCCTCCTCCAGCGTTGCCACCTATGGAACTTCTAATGTCTGGAATCTCGCATGGGTTCGGAGGAGTCTCTCAGCCCCCACCGACTTCAATGTTGTCCCCAGGCCAGGGACAAGGCGGTGGTATCTTCATGAGGAGCACGACGGCTTCTAACAAAATGACGCACAAGACTAAGGTCACAAAGGGCGACGAAACAGTGGAAAATGTGGCGGAGGCAAGCGAAACTTTGGCTACTATGGAGGCTGGCCACATCCCTGCTCCACCACCGCTCCCAACTCCGGAGCAACTGAGGAGATTCAGTCTTGCACAAGCCGTACCTCAACCTAACATGGCGCTACAAATGGCAGGGCCGTCGGCTCTAGCAATCCCTCAGTCCTCGCCGACTTCAATGTTGTCCCCAGGCCAGGGACAAGGCGGAGGTACCTTCATGAGGAGCACGGCAGCTTCTAACAAAATGACGCACAAGACTAAGGTCACAAAGGGCGATGAAACGGTGGAAAATGTGGCAGAAGCTAGCGAAACTTTGGCTACTATGGAGGCTGGCCACATCCCTGCTCCACCACCGCTACCGACTCGGGAGCAACTCAGGCGGGCAAGTCTTGCACAAGCCGTGGTCCAGCCGCGGGTGCATGGGGTAGGATTCGGACGAGTCCCCTCGCCCCCGGCTTTGCCACCTATGGAGTTACTGGTGTCTGGAATCTCACATGGATCCGGACTGATTCCTTCTCCTCCTGCATTGCCACCCATGGAACTTCTGATGTCCGGAATCTCACATGGACCCGGACTTGCCCCTCCTCCTCCAGCGTTGCCACCTATGGAACTTCTAATGTCTGGAATCTCGCATGGGTTCGGAGGAGTCACTCAGCCCCCACCGACTTCAATGTTGTCCCCAGGCCAGGGACAAGGCGGTGGTACCTTCATGAGGAGCACGACGGCTTCCAACAAAGTAACACACAAGACTAAGGTCACAAAGGGCGATGAAACGGTGGAAAATGTGGCGGAGGCAAGCGAAACATTGGCTACTATGGAGGCTGGCCACATCCCTGCACCGCCACCGCTACCGACTAGGGAGCAACTCAGGCGGGCAAGTCTTGCACAAGCCGTGATCCACCCGCGGGTGCATGGGGTAGGATTCGGACGAGTCCCCTCGCCCCCGGCTTTGCCGCCTATGGAGTTACTGATGTCCGGAATCTCACATGAATTCGGACGCGTCCCTTCTCCTCCACCCCTGCCACCCACGGAACTTCTGATTTCCGAAATCTCGTTTGAATCCAGACGAGTCCCTAATCCTCCTGCTTTACCACCAATGGAGCTTCTGATGTCTGGAATTTCAGGCTTCCCTGGGCAGGAAGTCTCCCAGGCGTTACCGGTTCCACTGCTGGATCTGGTCGGCGCTGTGGCCAGGCAGTCATTACCCGATCCAAACAGGCAGTACACTGTCATGACGATGTACTCCACGCAGGGGTCAAACTTGCCTCAGAAGAAAGCTCGGCCTGACGAGGGCGATGGACACGGCACGACAGAAGTCGGTGTCGGTGCAAAAACAACCAAGTTCTGCACAAACATCCCAGACCCCCCGCCATTGCCACAAATGAAGTTTTTTGTCCCAAAACCGTATGTCCAACACAAGGGCACGTTTGGACATGAGATAGCGCAGAAAGTGGACCGTTTAACCCAGCGGAGGGAAATGTCCATAGAGCTCCACATCGCGAGAAGGGATTCAACCGATTTACTCCTCGCAATCGAAGAAAACGCGTCGAAGTTTTCCCCGGAGGAAGTTGAGGAAATGAGAAAAGAAGCAAACGAGGATATTGCCAAAATCGACGAGTGTCTCAACCAACTGCTGATGTCGACCTCAATGAGGAACTTGGTTGAAGACTCAGGGTCAGTGGTTGAAGACTCAGGGTCGGTGTGTTCTGAAGAGTTACTCCCCGTGGAGATAGTGTCCACGGATGACTCTCAAACAGCTCCACTGGCGATACAATCCGACAGTCAGCTGACGGTCCATCTGCATCGCCAGTCAGATGATTCGCAATCGACAGAGCAAAACCAGCTCAAACTGTGCCAGCACGCCGACCACGGTGAAAGCGCCTGGCACCAGCGTGGCAACCACTACCAGGTCGTGCACGGGGAGAAGACACCGTGCTGCCTGGCAAACCACGCCCAAAACTGGAGCTACAAGCCTCCGAGATTCAAGTGCGGCAGTTGTGA